GAGCCATTTCAGCTCCCCCCCCCCCAACAGGAAGTCCCTTGGAAGAGGCACCCACATGCCTGCCCACCTTGTTGCCCAGCACCTGGTGTACACGCTGCCCAGGCCCAGAGCGCACATCCCTGAGGCCTGCGGTCAGGGCACGCCTAAGAGCAATGATTGTGCTGGGTTTGTAAATCGGGCAGCAAGCATGTGGCCAAAGCTGAATGGAGAGTGAGGCCCCCACCACCATCCCACATGCTGCAGCTCCTGGAGCTCCAGGATAAGGGACAGAAGCAACACCCAGTGCCTCAAGGGGCTGCCAAGGCCAGAACCACACCGTAAGGACCCCCCAGAACCCAGGCCCAGCCCTCAGGTCCGTCTCACGAGGGAGACACGACACCTGGCTCTCAGCTTCCAACACAGAAACACCTCCCTGGCTCCCTTCCAAGAACCTCTGCTCACCACTTTCCTGCAAGATGGGGAAATGGGGCAGGTAGATTCTCCCAAGCAACAGCTGCTTGGAGGAGGAGGTGGCTGCTTCCCCACCTGGTTTAGCTGGCACTACAAGGTACGAGGCCTCTGGTAATCCAGGGAAGCAAGTGGAGACAAAGGTCTGGAGTCCCCTGTGCTAGAATGCAGCCGGGAGCTTTTCTGCAACTCAAACAAAGAGCTCAGACACAGCCCTTCCAGAGCTGTACACAGATGGGGTAAGAGCTTCAAGCTGCTTAGACTAGTGCCGCAGGCCACATGGATGCTCCCCAAGGGCTATGCCAGCTGTGCTGCAGTTCAGCATAAGCCCATTTGAAAGATTTCTCCCTCCCTTTGGGTGGACTACAGCATCCAGCTCTGAGGCCTGTGGTGTTCAGCCACAGTGGGGCTGGGTTTCCCCAGGGGCTGCATCCCCAGGACCTCAGCACCAGGAGGCAGCTCCCCAGCAAGAGATCTGAAAGGCACTGGGAAAGGTGGCCACAGCTGGGGTGGGCAGCTCCCAAGAAGCTCATCGCCCACCCCCAGAGTGCAGCAGGGGTACAAGTTACCTATGCTGGGCAGCGCTGCCCCAGCTCCTCACGGCTGGGGCTGGGCTCAGGGAGCATGCTCCTTGCACCAAGATCCCAGCCACGCCAGACACAAGCACGCAGGAACAGACCTGCAGAAAGGCCTGATCCTCCCTGCAAAGGGATGTGGCTAACATCCTTCACCCAGAAAGACCTTGCGGGCATCACTTTCGAATTGAGCCGGCGCTGCTTGAACCCACATAGCACCACGCAAGGGCACAAACCTCCAGGCCCTGCTGCTCGCTCTAGCCCTGCCCTGTAGCATGCAGGTGCCCAGGATGATTGGGGGGGCATAAAGCAGACACAGTATGCAAGGGGCTGGCCTGGCATGCAGGACCTTTATTTTTCATGGTGAAATGCACTTTGAGCAGGCCAGCACCTGAGCCCCAATGTGGGGAAAGCCACAGGCAGGAAGCTGAGGGGGCACAAAGGCAGCATAGGGATCCCTCAATGAGCAGGGCACCCTCACGCTAGCACCCCATGAAGGGTCTTGCCCTGCCTTCCCTCAGAAACCAGCAAGGAGACGGGGAAGAGACAACACTAACACTGTGATAGGAGCTTCCCCAGGCTGCTAGCACAAGGACTAGCTCACTGGGAGAGCCAAAGGCACAGCGTTCACCCACACAAGACACCAGACACACAATGCCCAGCTGGGTTGGTCAGTACTTCCCGAGGCGGGACCAGCACCCACAGCCTCCTGCACACAGTCACAGGAGCTGGGTTCTGGCTGAGCCAGGCCTCGGCAGGAGCCAGCAGCAGCAGGGGCCCAACCTTCCTGCCAGGAGCCAGCATAGAGGACACAAAGAACCAAACCTCCCAGGCAGGATGGATGGTTTCGCTGTCATCAAGGCTTTGGTGTCCTCTTCCTTCCCTTTTGAGCTGTAAGCCACTTCACATCACGGCAACCCTCAGCCACTGCCACCTTCTCCTATTGGAGACAGGCCGATCCTCCCCCAACCCTATGCG